TTACGGACAAGTTTGATTTGTATCAAAGATGCATGTTTTCCAACAGAGGTTTTTATTTTATTCAGAACTCACAACCCTAAACAAAATTATTGAGCTCATATATTTTAGATGCATGTACATGACCATAAATACTGACTGTAAAAAATAGCTCGCTCTTCATCGGTCCACATATAATAGAGCTATGATTGAAATATCATCTTCTCTTTCTGAAGAACATATTCAGTGTGAACATATACTTCAACAGTTTTTGTTTGGTCATTTTTCTATTCAAAAAGCTGTTGCTAGTTTTTCTAGCACTAAAGATAGTTTCCTTCGTTTACTTTATGAACACAAAAACTTGTAACATATGATCAATCTCTAAGTACTGAACAAGCTCTGAAATAGAGAACCGATGTCGTAACACTGATTCGACTACATCGAATGTTGTGATTCTAAGACTTTCAATTAGACTTGCCGTCTCATGGGGTGCTTTCTACTGAAATTGTTGAATGAATAAGTGAAATTCGTCGTAGAAAAGACCTATTTTACTTAAAAACGAGTGACATTGAGATTTCACATGCGGGTGATTAAGCGAAAAATCTGAATCAACATGGCAGAGATAAGATGACTACAAGAGAAAGCTGATGTTTGCGATTAGAGTTTATTGTTGCATGCATGCACCCAAAATATCAGCACAATATCAGAGAGAATAGTAACCCTTTCGAATGTTAGCAACTCGTGTTGTTTAGGTTTGTAAATAACATTGTCTCTACAGTTTGCTTCAATCCCTATTTGCTTAAAAATATAGCATTTACGTAATATATTATTTTTGAGACAAAATATAGTCTTGTTATAAGTTCTTGTCAAAAATTTTTTTTTTCAACTTAGACAATTCAATCTCACACAGCAAACTAAAGTGTAAAAGGTAACAGATACCACTTTGCAAAAATTTAGTTGAGCAAAGAATAAGTTTATTTTATCATCAACGTTTTGAATTAATTCATGTGTCGAATAGTAGAAAAGACATCGGTATTATAATATCATTTAATCTTAGCTTTGTTCTCTTATATGTGGCGGCATCCCCTTGAAAGTCTCAAATGAGGACGCTCTATATTGATTCCTAGATTTAGTTTGTTTGTTTATTAGTATAAATGAATCATTGGATGACTTGAATATAGACATAATGTGTGTATCATACTGGAACCGTTTATAGATCAACCAATTGATAATATAAAAAAAAAAAAACAAAACGTGTTGGTATGTTAAAAATTTCGTGTATCAATATGTTACCATATAAAAAAAACAAAATTGTTTTTTTACTGTATGATACATTTTCTTTGTCTTAATCTTATATAATCTAATCTTTTCTATTTAATAGTACATAGTAGTAGAATCCTCATAAGATATAATCAACAGCACGAGTCTCAATAGCGGATAGATAATTTAATTTTGTTTTAACACGTTTTCTTTATCATCATATTTGAGGCTTTAAAAAAACATAGTTTTTATATTGTCTACGTGCTTTTATAATCAAATGAGTGGTTAATATTCTATCAAATTCATGACTCAAAATAGTATTGTTATAAATAGTAGACATTATGCTTTACTTACAGAATATTTTATACGAGTACCAAAATAGATGTGCCTGGACGTACTAGATACATATAAATTTGAATTTGATACATTTTTTTTATGAAATAATTTTCAGGGAATGATGAATGTTGATAATATTCCTTATCGATAGAAGTAATTTGTTGGCATATAATTGTACTTGCAATTCGCGTTTAATGATATACATAATAATCTAAATACAAATTATAAATTTGAAATCTGTTTAGTATAATATCTGGAACGACAGGATCCAATGCATACAAAATTTACATGAGTATATATTTGTAAATATATAATAAATAATTTTATTTTGTTGTAAAATTGATTTCTTCTTGTTTGAAAGTATGAAATCAATATTCGATTTTATCTTTCAGATAGGAAATTTTAAAAAGTCATAAGGTATATATATATTATCATACAATACTTATTATGCAGTATGTACCATTGAGATCAAAATATAGGATTGGTACTCGACAAAGTGAATTAGCACTTGTTCAAACTGAAAGGTAAATTTTTATGTTTTATTTTGTCTTTTATTTTTGTTTGCTTTTCATTTCTAGTGTTATTGAACAACTTCATAAATTCTATCCAAATATTGAATATGAAGTAATTAAAATTAAAACAATCGGAGATAAAAATCTATTAGATCCACTTGCTAATATTGGTGATAAAGGTTTATTTACTAAAGAACTTGAAGTTGAACTTAATAACAACACTATTGACTTTGTTGTACATTCTCTGAAAGATGTTCCATCTACTGTTTTACCACCTAATATGATAATTGGTGCAATACTTGAACGTGTTGATCCACGTGATGCTGTTGTTATTGCACCATGGCATAATAAAAAATCTTTAAATGAACTACCACATGGTAGTATTATTGGTACAAGTTCAACACGTCGTATTGCACAACTTAAATTAAATTATCCACAATTTATATATAAAAATATACGTGGAAATATGAATACACGTTGGGAAAAATTAAAGAATCGAGAACTTGGATATGATGCAATGATTGCAGCTGTTGCCGGTTTACAACGATTAAAATGGGCAGATAGAATAAGTGAAATAATTGAACCTGATCGAGTTCTTTATGCAATTGGACAAGGAGCATTAGGAATTGAATGTCGACATAACGATATTGATACGATTCGAATGTTATCTGTTCTTAATCATGAACCAACAGTTATTCGTTGTATTGCTGAACGAGCTTTTCTGAGACGAAGTATGTGTGTTTTGATCTACACAGTGTAACAAGCTCGTTCTAGAAAACACCTAGTTCTTTTTTTGTATTAGATCTATAAACACATTTTATTAATAGGAGTTTTAAAATTTTGTTTTTTGTTGTATAGACTTAAAAAATGACTAAAAGAAATATGTAAGAAATTCAAAAAAAAATACTATCGACAATCTGTATAATCTATTACATATAATCTAATGGTTTTAGTTTTTATAATAATTAATCTTTTGTTTCTCTATTTACAGTTGGTGGTGGTTGTAGTATTCCGAATGCTGTACGTACAATATACAATGAAAAAGGATTATTAATTGATGGTATTTTACTTAATCTTGATGGATCACGTATTGTTAAAGATCGTGTTGAAAATTCGGATTTAACTATACCAATGACAACAACAAAACATTGTTCAACATTTTTTGTTTCCCATTCAGATGATGATGTTTCATTACTTGAGAATAATATACAATCAATAGATTTATCTTCAAATCGAATGAATTCAAAAAAACAATCTACTGAATTAGATGAAAAGTCTATAAGTACGTCAGTTTCTTCAACTTCTGCACCACAATCATCTTTATCATTGTTACCGACAGAAACATCGGAAGTTGTACCTTTACTTCGACATTATGCTCATGTATGTGGTATGAATATAAATGAAACAGTATTAGAAAATGCTGAATTATGTGGTACAAATCTTGCTGTTAAACTCATGCAAATGGGTGCTGATAGCATATTAGAAGAAATTCATCAAAATGTGACTATCACTCCTACTTCATAGGAAAAAAATTCTAAACGTCATCTTTCTTTTTTTTCCCGATTAGTATTAGTATTGTTGCACGATCTTTTTTTTCATTTGTTTTGGCTGTTTAGTAGTGATTTAAATTTTAGTTGTTAGTTTTTTGCACTTCACATACATTTATATTAAAAGTAAACAAAAAAGAATACATTTAAACAAACAAAAATAAGTAGACATAAAACTCTATGCAATCTGTAATATATATTGATATAGGATGATTATCTGGCCGATAGATATGTTTAGCATAAAAAGAAATCTATAATGATAAAATATAATGTGATAATAATCTCTGTTGATTTAAAAAACTTTTTTTGAATACACTTTATCTGACCTACTAGATTCAAAAATCGTAAATAATTCTGGTCGTTTTATAGGAATTAAAAATGTATGAACTATTCAAAAAATTGAAAATGTGATCAACGTACATCATTTCTCAGAAACGTAATTTATATAATAAGACTATATTTGACTTCAGGTATGTCGGATATTAAACATTTCTGAGTTTCATCATTTGATTTATTAGTTAAGTTTATCTATAATTTTTTTTATTGAACTTGGTAAATATATTATATTAATAACGAAATAGTTAGCAATGATTTTAAATTATATTTTGAAATAAAAACTTTATGTCATTTCAAAATAATTCAATTTCTGGTAAATACGAGAACATTATGAATAAAATCAAACTGCCTATATTAATTTGATATTTGTATGTAAAATTTTCTCTTCTTTTCATTTTATTGATGTTAAATCATCAACTGATGATATAAACTAGTGTGAAAACAAAACAAAAAAAGCATTTTAATTAATTTATTTCTATGCTGATTGTTTGTTTTTCTTCATAAATTCCAATAATTGATCATGAGCTTGTGTTTCATCACCAAAATCACGAACAACACAGCAACTACAACGAACAACTTTTCGTGCTTTGCCATCTTTATCTAATTTACATAAACCAGCCCATTCACCTAATTTTTTATTATCATCAACACGTAATAAATTGATATTATGTTCAGCACATAATGCTTCAATTAATTTAACATAATTTTGTTCATCACAATTTGATGCTAAAACACAAAGATGAGCTTCACGTCGATCTAAAGCTTTGACCGATTCTTAAATAAGAAAAACAAAAAAAAATAAAGTCTGTATACAAGAAAGAAAAATAATAATAAATATGTAATTATATTACCTCGTAAGCCTCGTGCAAGACCATCATTACGTGCAGCTGATTTAAGTACTTCCTGTAACGACTTATTTAAGTCGACTTCATCCGAGGCGCGTGGCGTCTCGTCCATCTCTGTATCCGACATGATGATGTTAAAGACGTTTAATAATCTAGAAAAATAAAAAAAAAAGAACCATTTTATTCTTTTATTCATCACCGTCCCAATTCATTTCAATAAATTGTCGTGGCCGTAATCGTGAATTACGTATAAATGTTTTTTGACTATCACAACCAAATTTTTTGTCTTGTTCTTTGTTTTTCATTTCATTCATTTTTTGATTTGAAAATAAAATAAATATATCATTTAAATGACGATTTTTTGTAGAATGATGTTCATCATTGATATGTTGAAAACGTTGTTCAATATTAGAAAATATTTTTGAACATGATTCAATCAAACAACGATATGATCGAATTCTTGAATAAGTATTATGTACTTCATCCATATGAAGATCCAAAAGAAAATAATTAGGAAATACATGTAAACATTGAGAACATATATGTTGATGATGAATATGATTATGAAAATCAAAATCAACTTGAGAATTTGTATTAAATGTACAAAAAGGACAAGAAAGAAGATTGTCGGATAAAGTAGAATGATAATCTATAGAAGAATTCTCAGAACGAAAACGTTTTGATGTAATATTATTATTGAACTCCATTACATAGAGAATAAATAAATGAAAATAATATATAGTAATTGTATCGATGGATAAAGTCCAATGATTATATTTTCCTCTTTACATTACATTACATATAAATATGAAAAAAAAATATACGGTGTATATCAAGACATGTTATAAAAATATTAATGAAACTCGATAATTTTGCTGTTATAGAATTTTCATATAATGAAAATCATATTGCTGTTTATAGGTGGCGCTACAGTATTGTTTGATTTATTCGAGAATTGATCTGGTGGATCGTTTCGTTTCGATGACATGAGTGGATTCTAATCTCAAATATAAGCACTGAAAATCGTAGAAATTCGGATAAGTATACAAATAAACCCTTTTCAGATCTTTTCTGGTTATCATAATTGTTTTTTGATGTTTTAATTATTAAAGTTGTATTGATTACTCAATAAAATAAAGTGCTAGTATAATGAGAGAGAAGACCAATATTCAGATACTGATAGTTTTACCTTCTTTTTCAGATTGGTCTTGATTGCATATTACTTTATATGTCAATGAAGTAAAAGATCTCGCTAATAGCCATAAAAACTTGGATAGTGGGCTTTGCTGCGGTCTCAATCTTTTTAGGTTTCTTCATCATCGTTTATAGACAAAAGTCTAAAAAAAGTTTCAATCTAATCAATAAGATATGCTGATCAAGCCATAGAGTTGATATTCAAGTGATGCATGAATCTCATCAGTTTATGCATTCTGCTAAGTATGTTTCTAACTAATGGTGCATTAAGTAAAGCTGTATTACAATACTGATGGTCACTCTATTTAAGATGTTTTGAGTTAAAGAACCAGTTAAATGTCAAAAAATTATCTTTTTTGCTTGAAATAAATTATTTTATATTCAATAAAAACTTACAAACATATCCGAATGTCTAAGCTTCTCTTGAAATTATATCAATCAAAACAAAATTTTTAAAATAATATTTTTTTTTTTTGTATGGAAAATATCGAATAATTTTATTTATCTCTTTTCTTTATTTTAAGAAACTATCTGACAACTATTATATTAAAGAAAAAAAAAATGTATGAAATGTTCAGAATTACATGATAATAATATTCATTTTTTGTTTTTGTTATATTGATCAATAAGACGAACACATACTTGTAACATAGCTTTTTCACTTGCGGATATTACATGTTTGTGACTATATATATATATAACAAGAAATAAACTTTTAGACTTCATGGACAAAAATTTTACTTTGAAATTGTATGTTTATATGAATCAATAGTTGAATCAAGTTCATGTATTAATTTTGAATAAGTTTCTAAATCCATTGTATTCATTTGTGCTAATTCATTTGCTTCAATCAGTTCAATAAGACGATCACATGTACGATTCCAATTTTCTATAAAAATGAGAAGAAGAAGAAAAAAAACTGACCTGATGTTTTATTTGAAATATATAATACCTTTATTTTCATCTGTTATATCATTTACTACGGATTGAATATGAAGTCGATCAAGTTTATTTGAAAGACAAATATCAAGTGTTTGTTGTTTTTGATCGTAATCATTAAATAAACGAACAATTTTACTTAATGTTTCACCCTAAAAAGACAGAAAATAATAAAATATGATAAACAATTGATAGAAGATATGAAATAAAATTTACCAATGTTTTAATAATATTTCCAACAATTTTATCTACAACAGCTTTTTTTCTTGTTTCTTGTAAATTATTAATATCATTAATTATTCGATATGCAGCACGATGTAATTTACCGAAACGAGCCTGAGTAGTTTTTTTTAGAGAAACAAAAAAATTTGTTTTATTTTAAAATGATATTTCTTACTGTTTGAAGTTGTCGATTTGATTGAATGATTTCATTAAATAATTGATTGGTAAAGACGATTTGTAGAAGTTCATTTTGAGTAAGAATAAGTTCACGTCGATCACGTTCATCAACTAGATCATCACCATTCTAAGAAAAAAAGAAGCAGATGTTTATGGTAACTAATTAAATTAAGTTCTTTTTCTTTAATAATGATAACAACTTTTTTCCAAGCACCACTAATACGTGATGAAGCAGCAGGTTTTACTGGTGATACATGTGGTGGATCTTCTCGAACAGCTAAAAAAAACTATAAAATAGAAATGATTGACCAAAGTTAAAAATTATACCAGCTAAATCAACAGATTTTTTAACAAAACCAAATCGAGATTTTTGTGTGCGAGGTACAACATTAACAAGATCTTGTTCACTGATTGACTTGACAAACAAAAAATCATATATTCAATCTTAGTTTTTTTTTTAATATTAATATCATTAAAAACAAACTTTTTTCATTTGTGAAACAACTGGAGCAGTGACTGTTACAGTAGATGTTCTTGGTATATTGTATGCAGCTAAAATAAACAAATATAAATATGATTTGAGAAAATATGCTATTAAAATTATTTTCAATCAGATGAATTTGATAATAATACGAAAAAACTAACATTGTGATTTAACGATAGTTGAAGCTCTTGTTTTTGTTACTGGTGTATTATTTGCTAAACGTTTAATTGGTGCAACTTGTGTTGGTTGTTGAACAATACCAGATCGAGTTGGAATACTGAATATAAATAGTTGAAAATGAATTTTTTATGAATATAATCTAATTCTTACCGAGGTGGTTTAGCACCTTGAAATTTTTGACTAGCATGCATGACTTTACAATAAGAATATTAATAAATTTAAATAAAAAACTGGATATCGATCAACAAGAGATTGTACAAAGAACAAGTATTTAATACACAGTGACAAAAAAGAATAATACGATTAGCTCATTTCAGTGACATATGAATCATCGTTTCTTCTCTGAGAAAAAATAAGAAATAAAGAACGTCTTTCTTTTATAGTTAACATAAAGATCTTCAAAATTTTAATTTTTAACATACACAGCATTTATGTAGTCCTTCGCATACACATTCTACCTCCATATTTTACCCAAGATAACTAAATCGTTTTATGTTGCGATAATCTCAACAACGAAAAATCACAAAATACCTATTCAAACGTGATGCTAAAGTGTCGATACCCAATCGATACTATATTTTTTTATTCTTCCGATGAACTTTTCTTCTCTAACAGATAGCGTCTCAAAAGGACAATTTTTTCAGAATTAAAAAACCTATCTTTCGAAACTCAGATATATTGACAATGTTCTATCAAGTCACGATGATACGTTCTTCTAAATGACCAAAGTTCAATTTATCATTCCATAATTAATATCATCATGCAAGCGAGTGATATTCAAATATATCATCATAGTTATGAATAATTCAATGTCATTTGAGTCTTCTTGAAGTTAATATTTCACCTTCAATGTGTAATAAATCTCTGCATAGAGTATGGTTTTTGACAACTCTTTAATCTATGAATGTATTAGAAAGGTTGAAACAGAACACTACTCATAGTTGAATATAATTGAGAAGCTCGAACAATGTTCATAAATTGACAAAACTATTAGATTTGATGACTATTAAACGACAAGTGAAGTAATATAACATTTCTAAGAGATCAAAATCTTTTTAATGATGACATACACAAATAAATAAATTTTACTTGATATTCTTACAATCATGGAAAGATTATGTCAATATTTAAATGAAAAAAAAATCAAATGAGAAGACAGGTAAAAATATACTAAGAATGACACAATGTATGTGAAGCATAGTTAAGATTATCCTTCTAAATAACATAGAACGGAAAGAACAGAATTGATAGACTTCCTTATTTTTTACAGGATGCTTTTTTTTTTCTTGATTCACATAAATAAAAATAATTTTACATCAATAGAAATTTTTCTATTGTAGCATTTAAAAGAAGGAACTACATGGAAACAACACAAGGAACAATTGTCGAGTCTAAACTTTGTTCAATGCCATAATGTGCTAATTGTATGCATAATCATATCATTGTATTACTGCACAATATAGCTCAACTTTCGCAACAATATCATTCATTCGAATTATTGTTTCAAACAAAACAAGACCTGGTTCGACAGAAGGTTTCAAAGTCAACTGCAGAAATCAAAGAATGCTTCAAAACTTATTACAATGACTTGCTAGAAAGACATTAAAAGCAAAACAAGACGCTGAAGTAATGTTATGATTGATAAATCTTCTTTTCCTATGTTTGTTTTAGGAATATTTAAATAAGATTTATTCGAAATTTGTAAACGATCAATGTTGATATGCATATTGTTGTCGCAGAAGTTATCTTTCAACCAACAAGAATGAAATCCGTGTTAACTCAAGTCAATCAAATTTAGAAGAAGCTTAAGACGTATGAAGTAACATAAGACAAGAAACTACAAATTATAATATCAATGTATACATTAAAACTGCAGTACAGTCCTGCCTTAACAACTGTTACAATAGAATCGTCTGCATTTGAATTTTTTAAATCTACAAGACATTGCTACAACAAAAGAACGAAGACATCGACATAATTTTCATACGAATAAAAGAAATACATAATTTCATAACGATGAAACAGATAGCAATCGAACAATATGAATGTCTTCTGCTTCTTTCTGTATAATGAGCAATGAAAATTGAAAATAAAAAAAACGACACACAAAAAAAAATATATTGCTCTGCAATTAATTCTTAATTCAGTACATCAATCTTAAAGTGAACCAATTTTTATTCACATCCATTCAACTATACGTGCTTTTTCATATTTTGATTCGCTTCATGTTATTTTTTTTTAGATCGAACGATAGTAAGTAACTGTATCAGGGCTGGCCCGAGGCAGCAAACATTGGGGCGTTGTCGCGATTTTTTCGGGGGTTATTTCGGATTTTTGTAACGCGAGTAAAATTTTTTTCTAATAGAACTCAAGAAAAAAATTTCATTTTCGCTGAAGAAAAACAAAAATTTTCGATTATTGGGGGGTTGTCACAACTCTCAGTCGGGCCAGCCCTGAACTGTATTGATTTAATTGAAGGTTTCTATTTGAATTATTGGCTGCTAGTAATCTTAGATCATAATGTTGTCATATTATATTTCTAAGTTATCACTTATATGTTGTTGTTGATTTGGAAAGATATGTGTTACCATAGTATGCAACCAAAAAAGTGTCATATTCGGCACTCTATCATCAAAGTAAGGATTGTGAAAGAAAAAAAAAAAGTTGAAATTAAATTTCTTTGTTTTCTCTTGTTGATTCTATTATAAAAAGAAGAGTGAATCTATTGTTCGTTTTGCTTTGCCTTAGCAAGTCAAAACAAAAGTACAACAAATTTATCTTCGAACTATCAAAATAGGTAAGAACTATGTATGCATACTAGTGAGTCGTTAAAAGATGTTGTTAATTAAATTGAGAACGTTTAATTTTAGTTTTCAATAATATGAAAAATATTCATTTATGATCGTATTTTGTAAATCATTATGAAATAAAACGATCATAGCTAAGTAATAAATCCAACTGATATAGTTTTATAAACCGTTATATACGACAATGATCTGTTTATTGATTAGTAGAGAACAATTTCTTATTTTATCTTTGTAATAACGTCTTTTAAAGCTTTTTTATTTTGAGCTGTTATTCATAGTGTGAATAACACCGTATTTGTAATGTTTTTAGTCATGACAAAAACAATAAATCGATGCTCGGTGTGTCAAAAAGAACTTGGAACCAGCTATTGCACCGGATGTGGAGTTTATTTTTGTACGAAAGATTTCAAAAGTCATCGGAGTACCTTATCTAATGAAATGGATGTACTTATTGAATATCGTAACGAATTTCAAGATAAAATTAATACAGCAATACAAAAGGATGATTTATATGGTCCACTTTTTGAACAAATTGACCAATGGCACAAAATGATGACTGAAAAAGTAAATCTAGTAGCTGAACATACACGTCAACAAGTTGCTCAATTATTAAATTCGAAACGAGTTAAATTAAGTAATGATTTCAAGAGATTTTCACAAGAATTAATTCATTTAAAAGAAACAGAAAATTTTGTTGAACATGATTTAACACGTTTGAAATACATTATCCATCAATTTAATCATGAATTGAAACAATTGGCTAAACCATGTACGATTGAACTGCATACAGAACAAAGTGATCGAATTGTTTGGAGTCAACTTATTTATGTTGAAGAAAAGTCAACTTATGCTGGAATCCAACAGCGACAGCAATATCTAGAGG